CTAATAATTTTAATCAATCTTTTATATGTCATTTTACCTTCCTTTTTCTATAACATGTATTAATGTCACTTATATTAAAAATGTTTAGTCTCCTTGCATTAGTTCTAGTTTTAAGTTATATTAATTATTATTTATAATACATTTAATACATTTTAAAATATAAAATTATTATGCCATTAAAACTGTCACGCCCCAAAATCGAGGGCAAACTAGACACCGTGCACTTGTGAAAGGATCTCTCAAATGCACAAGGCTCGAAACTTGCTAAGTTCATTACTAACAGTCCACATAAACTTGACAAATATAGCATCCACAGACAAACCTACTTACATAGCAGGAAGGGACTCACATAGTACTCACATGACAAATGTAAAAGGTTAACGACACCAAGCAACCAACACTCAGCATGCAACAAGATGTAAATAATCACACAAGAGGGAAGAGACTCACTAAGTACTTTATAGCCAAGTGTAAAAAGTGAGTACATCCACACACAAGGAAGTAGGCATATAGGCATGATACACGATGAATAGGCATATAGCACCAATGATGGATGAGCATGTGACATGATATGATGCATGAGCATATGAGCCAAGTATGATGCATGCCAAGATATAGCAAACTAACCACTTAAAGGTAAAAATAGAAAAGCAACCACCAAAACAAGAAACAAGCAACATGTAACAAGCACATGCAACAAACGACAAAGACTCAACAAATAAAGAAACTCAAAAGCTAAAAATTCCCCAAAGTTAAAGTATTAACTCGACCCTCGTGAACCCATAATACAAAAACCAGAGATTCTAGGTTGGATCCCTAGTGGAGTCGCTAGTCTATTGACAACCACATTGAAAGCATTAAGTGTGAAACATATAAGAAAAGGAGTTGTCACTCGTCCAAATTATAAGGTGGGACAAGTCATCTAAAACAAGTCTGCGTAGAGATTAGGGTTCGAGGGTTCGAGGGTTCGGTTAAGAGTGAGGAAAGGCTCACAATCCTCTATTTAAACACGGTTTCATACTTTAACATTAGGGCTTTAATTCAGCTTATTCATTATCTTTATATTTAAGTCTTAACAAGTAAGCTTGAAAAATAGATGGACCAAATTGTAACATCTTTTAAAATTTTGGACTAAAATAGATAAAATCAAAGACATGCATGCACCATGAGCACAAGTAAAAAATTAAATGGACTAATTTGATTAAATTCAAAAACATGGAGGACTGACTTGATTAAATTCACAAACATAGAGGATTGGTTTGAAAAGATTTGAACCCTTTGGACTAACTTGCTTAATTATAAAAGTTTTGGGTGAAATTTGAAATAAATAAAGATAATTTTATCTTTGACCAAGATTAAAGAAAATTAAGGATTTAAGTTAATTAACCATGATAATTAGTGTAATTAAATAATTAATTTGACATTAATTAAAATTAATTAATCATATTAATCAACCTTTAATTAAGATCATTAAATAAATCTAATAATCTTAAATTAAAGTCAATAAACATAATTAATTTATTTTAATTAAAGTTAATTAATTTCATTAACCATAACAAATTAAATTAATAAACCTAATTAATTACTAAGCATTCTTATATATATATATACATTTTTGGTTAAGTACCCTTTTTGGTTCCTCTACTATAGGGAAAAGCTCCTTTTTGGTCCTTGTACCGAAAAAATCCATTTTTTGATCCCTAAATTTTAAAATCCGATCCCTTTTTAGTCCTTCCATTAAAATTTTGCTGACTTGTCACGTTTAATTAACGGAATTATTTCATTATTTTTTATATAAACAATATTATAAATGACATGGAAATGACATGTACAATTTATAAATTACGTGGACAAAATTATAAATACACGTAAACATTTTATCTGAATATTATGTGTCACTTATACTAATTAAAAATTTTACTTTATTAATTTATGAATTAAACATAATTAATTTTAATTTTTTGCATCTTCTTCTTCCTCTTCTTCTCCAGAATCATCTTCATCATCTTGGGTTCCTCGTGGAACCCAGTGCGGGGTTTCATGAGGAACCCAGAGCCAGTGTGGGGTTCACAAGGAACCCA